TTGTTGCTTCTTGCCTGACTACTATTGTATATCTTCAGTGTTTCAGGATGGGCCAAATTAAATATGTTTTTACTTAGGTGGGTGGGAGAGGCAATGATAGATTTCTATAGACAAGAGAAATCCCATATGTTTATGTTCATACTTGTATTGACAGCATGAGTAAACAATTCAATGAAAAGTTGAAAATTATTTCAGCCACATTCATTTCTTCCATACAGGGTCACACAAGCAGACTGATCAATGGTATAACTAATAAACATGGACCTCAATGCAAAACCAAATATAGTCCCTCAACTCTCCATCAAATTTCTCCAGAAACTGGCAAAGCTGTTTTAACCAAGCAAAAAAAAAAAAAAAAAAGATCTTCTTGAATACTGGGGTCAGAAAGATGTAGAAAATCTGATTCTTCTTCAGTTATGGGAGTGAATATTCTACGACAGTGAACAGAAAAGAATGCTTTCTTATGCATAGCTTCTGTAGCAGTCCTAGGCTCGCATACTCCCCATGGCTACAGGGCTAAGGAATAGTCTGATTAGAAAACCAAGACTGGACCTCCATCTTGCCACCTCCACTTTTACTGCTAGCATTTTAGACTTGGTCCTGCATCTCTACCCCTGCTCTGAGCCACTGACCATAGGAGCTGGACTTTGCAACTGAGTTGGACTGTATCTTCCTCTAAATTGACTGTTGCCAGCCCTGGCAGATACAGCCATGCCTTGTGTGTTACCTTATAACTGTAGACACATAGAACCCCAAAAAAAGTCTTCCTGAAAAATGTGGTAGCAAATTTCCCTTTTGCTGTTACTCTCTCTGCTATTTCTCAAATAGCAAGGCAAGATTGAGACAGAATCCTATTTTGGACTCCTGGAAAGTAACTGCTTCGTGAGTTATGAGCATTTCACCCAAAGGAAGAATCAACAGAGAGAAGGAGAAGGCTTGGGGAGAACAATCCAATAAGTAACTTTAAGTCTATCTCACATTATTACTTTTCTGAAGTTCTGTATTGCTTTTTATACAATAGGCACTCAATATAATTTGTTATTTGAATTGGATGAGGATATTTTTTCTTCTTTAATAATCTCTACTCTAAGGAACATTTTGCCTTACTATACTGATGAAATAATTCTAGTATTTGGTGTCAGCTGTCAACTCAAATAATTATTTTTAAATAGTCTTCGATTTTTTGTAATGATCTGCTGTGTTCTCTGTCCTGTCCCTTTGGTGCTTGCTAACCATTACTCATGAGACCACATATGCATTGCCCATAGCAAGTGGACCTCAAATTCTAGATTCATTTGTAACCGCATTTTAAAACCCAGATTCCTGGGCTCCCCAAGCACTGTGGTCCTTCAGTCAGAGAAGGGGTCTTGTAGCTTATATTTTAACAAACACCCTGGGTGATCCAGGTGCATGTCATCATGAAGCACATTTCAGAAATTGATCCATAAATTTGATCCTGCCCTAGACTCTGAGACCAGCCTTATTTAGAGCAAAGCAAAGACGGAGAACCAACAGTAAATTGCTAATACAGAGATGATGGTCCTTTCCTGGGACATGACCTTGTTTCACTAGTCACTATTTTGTCCTCTTTCCCACTTCATGCCTGAAATCCAGCTGGTGTTGCCCTGGATCTTGGTTGCTGGGTCCATCATATTCCTGGGCTTCACTGGCTGTCGACGAAGAATTGTCAATTACTAAATCCCATATTTAATGTTTTGCCTGTTCACCAAGTCCTTCACCCAGTGGCCAAACTCCACTGTTTGCCTTTGGGGATTCCTCCAAAAAGTCCAACTTCTACTGCTTAGAAGTCTACTTAGTCCCTTCCCTGCCCAGGTAGGTTTGCTGGATAATTCTTCCCAGTACTAAAACCTCACTCTTCATGACAGATTTTTCTTTTTAATTTTTATTTTATTTTTTAATTTTATATTTTGACTGTGTTGGGTCTTCGTTGCTGCATGTGGGCTTTCTCTAGTTGTGGCGAGCGGGGGCTACTCTTCGCTGCGGTGCGCGGGCTTCTCATTGCAGTGGCTTCTCTTGTTGTGGAGCACGGGCCCTAGAGCGCGCAGGCTTCAATAGTTTGGCACACGAGCTCAGTGGTTGTGGCTCTTGGGCTCCAGAGTGCAGGCTCAGTAGTTGTGGCACATGGGCTTAGTTGCTCCATGGCATGTGGGGTCTTCCTGGACCAGGGATCAAACCCAAGTCCCCTGCAATGGCAGGCAGATTCTTAACTACTGTGCCACCAGGGAAGTCCCCATGAGAGATATTTCTGACTGAGGGTGCTGACTATCCTTATCCAGAGTTAGCCAAGATGAATAGGATAGTCACCAAGCTGACTACCTTTAAAAAGATCATCTCCCTCTGTATCTGTGGTAGAGTAAGAGGGCATGTCTGCTCATTTACCCAAGTTTAACATGAGAGATTTTAGAAAAGGAATTGTTAAGTGAAAAACAACTCTAAATAATATTATTTTTGTTGCATACAGCCTGTTGTCAAGAATAGCCCAAAACAAATGCAGATTAAAATAAACGTGCTCTAGGACTGCCGTGGTGATGCAGTGGTTGAGAATCCGCCTGCCAATGCAGGGGGCACGGCTTTGAGCCCTGGTCTGGGAAGATCCCACATGCCACGGAACAACTAAGCTCATGATCCACAACTACTGAGCCTGCGCTCTAGAACCTGCGAGCCACAACTACTGAGCCCACGCACCACAACTACTGAAGCCCGTGCTCCTCAACAAGAGAAGCCACTGCAATGAGAAGCCTGTGCACTGCAACGAAGAGTAGGCCCCGCTCGCCGCAACTAGAGAGAAAGCCTGCACACAGCAAAGAAGACCCAATGCGGCCAATAACTAAATAAATAAATGTTTAAAAAATAAAAATACAATAAAAGTGCTCTTAATTGGCATTTAGGGCTGAAGTGAAGGTTGCTGACAAAACTGGTACTTTCCCAAATTGTTACTCTACCTGCTGAGATCTGAAATATTATCTTTGAATAAAAGAAGAAGTTTCAAATAAGAATAGTACAAACACTAAGGATTTCTTTCTCTGTCTTGGTTCATTCATTTATTCAACAAATATGTTTTTTAATATTTTCTGTATGCTAGGAATAAACAGTTCTGGCCTCTGCCTTCATGGGGCTTACCATCTTGTTTAGGTCACAAATTTATTTTGGAAACAGGTCTACCCAGGACTTTTATTCCCTCACCTGACTATGTGAGATGAAAAGAACACTGTGGGTTGCAGAGGTAGTAAGAAATGCCCCTAAGGAAGCCAAACCACAATTCTCCTTCCAACGGATACACAAGGCTGGAAGTTTATGGTAAAGGTGCTAGTCAACAGGAGGAAAGGATGAAGATGCCCACAAGTTAAATAGAAATCTTCCCATGGATACTATAAAGCAGACCAACTTGCCTTGGATAGTATAGATCTTTGTTAGAGTTCTGTATGTTCCTTCCTTGTTTCTACTAGATAAGACATGGAAGATTAATTGAAATACCAGGTGCTATATAAGCTAATATTTTTGTTAGCTTAAGTCAGTGGTTCAGGCACCAGGAGAGCTTACTAAAACAGAGATTCCTCAGCCCTATGACCAGAGTTTCTGATTCAGAAGGTCTGGGGATGAGCCTGAGAACTTGCAAGCCTAACAAATTCCCAGGTAACACAGATGCTGCTGGTCTGAGGACCACATATTTAGAACATGGGCTTAAGCAAACACTTAGAGGAGCCTTGAAAATGTTGCTCCACAAACGAGGATAGACAGCATCATCGGGTTTAAAACTTTTAAATACCTGTTGTTTATCTCACTACAAAATAATACATATGTATTGCAAAAAACAGTTTTAATAAAAAAGCAATAAATTCATAAAACAACCAAAGTAAATTCAAAACCATCCACCGAAAGATAGCCATGAGTAAACTTGCTGTGTATTCTTATAAAATCTCTATGTGTATGTTTATGTCTACAAATATATACGATCTCTCTCATATATATATAAGATATATATACAACATTGAATTCATCTTGTATGTACTGTTTTGTAACTTACCTTTTCACTTAACAGTATATTATAAACATCCTTCTGCATCAATACAGTTCTAAAACATAATTTGGCACATCCTTTGAATAGAGTTACCAAAATATATATAAATGTATTTAAATGTTCCCACTTGCTGGACACTTAGGTTTAACCCTTTTCTGTTCAAACAGGTTCAACATAAATATGCTAAGTCATTTTGTACATCCTTAATTATTTTCTAAGGACATATTTCCAGAAGAAAAATTGCCAAAACTCATGTATGTTAAGTCTTTTAGTACATATCGCCAGACTGCCCTTCAGAGAAATATTGGATCGATTTACACAACCATCAGCTGTATAGAGGTATTTTCTCACACGTCCACATGACGCTGAGCATGTGTTTTCCTTTGCCAGTTCAATAGGGAGAAAATGATACCTTGTTTATATTTTGAATTTTTTCCAGTTACCAGTGGAAACTTTATGTGATTTATAGTGACATCACATTCAGCGATCTCATACTTCTTTCACTTGTAGCTGTGTAAATCTGGGGCTTAGAATCAGACTATAAACTCTATACAAGGCAATTTTTTTTGTTTGTGAGTTTACATGTTTGATATTTCATAGAGTCCAGCATGTCATTTTTCTTTGTTACAAACAAACAAACAAAATTTCAAAATAGACAGCCTTTGTTAGGTTACGTAAACTTTGGGAAATTTTCGTTGCTACAAAATTCTGTATTTTTGATTTGTCTAATATGATATGCAATCTCAGTATGTGAATTTATTATACTACGATATAAATGGACTAATTTTACTTATGAAATAATCCATGTGAAAACGTATCCAGTGTGATTACAAGAGACAATGGATAGAACAAAGTATCTTCTTATCTATTTATTAATATTTATTGAGTGGCCATATGATATGAATACTGAAATGGACTTTCTTGATGATACACTAAACTGAACTTTCTCGGTGATACACAGGGACTGTTAGGTGAAAAATATGGGAACATCCGAATCCCTGGAGAAGTTGAAGCGTCAGAGTTTGAAATGATTTTGGATGCTGCCATAGAGGCGAAGCTGGAGACCAAGTTACTGGAAGAGTGGTACTGTCGGGACGAGAACGCGGTGCCAGCAGCTTATTACCTCAGACCCAAATCGGAAATGCTGAAAAGCAATAAAAATGCAGTAAGCTATCTTTCTCTCTGAAGTATGTCTCTCTCCATGACTTTAAACAGTTTATGTCACCCAGGGGTAGTTTTCGCCACAGAAAAGGCACAGTAGACAGAAAATTATTCTGCCCTGGACCCTAAATTTCCTTTTAACAACTAAATCCAAAGCTAAGAAATCTTCTAATTTTTAATCCACCTTTCTTTTTTGGCATCTCAGACTTTCCTGCTGGGGTCTTTTCCTTCTTCATGAAGTATATCTCTTAGAAGTTCCATTAACAGAGGTCTATTAGTGATAAATTCTGTTTATCTGAAAATATTTGTATTTTTCTCATTTCGCTATAACGTGTCTCTATATATTCTGACTGGTGTATGTTGTGCTTCCCACATTTGCGAATCCATGCATTCCGTCAGTTTTGGAAATTTCTCAGCCATCTTCTCATCAAGTAATGTCCCTCCTCTATTCCTTTTGTTCTTTCCTTTGTGCTCTTTAATTAGATGTACAATAGATTGCCTCAGTCTATTCTCCACATCTCTTTTTTAAATTTGTTTAACTTTTGCTTTTTATTTTTTTAAATTTTATTGAAGTATAGTTGATTTACAATGTGTTCATTTCTGCTGGACAGTAATGTGATTCAGTTATACATATACATACATTCTTTTTCATTTTCTTTTCCATTATGGTTCATCACAAGATATTGAATATAGTTCCCTGTGCTTTACAGTAGGACCTTGTTGTTTATCCATCCTATATATAATAATTTGTACCTGTATCCTCCATGTCTCTTAATTGTCTTTTACATTGTCAATTTCCTTATCTTTCTGTGCTGCTGTCCAGAAAATTATTTTAGATCTTTCATCCAGTTCATCAATTTTCTTCTTCAGCTGTGTCCACTCTGTTCATGCTTGAGTTTTCAAGTTCAAGAGTTATATTTTTAATTTGTGAAAGATTTTTTTTGGGGGGGGGGTCTTTTAAAAATCTGCCTAGCTGTTTTTTATAGTCTCTAGTTTTTTAATTCAGTATGTTCCTTTAACATTTCATACATTGTTAATTTGTATTCTTGTGCCTTATGTAGAATCTTGCAGTGAGGTTGAGTCATGCATGAATATGATGGAAACATTAGCATTGTCTCTTCTCCAACTTGGTTCCCAAATGTATCAATCATGTGTCCCCCGAAACTGAATGAAGGAGGTAGAGAAAATGGGTGGGACTATTCATTGCACAGACATTTTAGAGATTAAAAGAAGGCATAGCTATCTATCCCTCTTCCAAAGAGAACATCCTTGATACATTCAGCACCCAGGCAGCTCTGAGAGGAGAAGAGCCGTGGGTTAGCAACAGCTCTTCATTTAAGGACCCTGTGTCCATACTCCAATATAAAATAAAAAGTTGAAAAAAAAAAAAAGAACCCTGCGTCTTTGTCATTCTGACATTTAGCATAAAGCATGCTCTCCATGCAAAATGAAATCATGTCAGATTCCTCGATTTTTCTTCTTCTTCTTCACATGCATTTTTCAAAGTAATTATCTGCAAGACTATGGAGATGAATATTGGGGTAAACCCCAAACCATTCTCTTAGGTAAATATGCCAGAAGTAAAGGTAGTAGCTGGTAAAGCAGATGTCAAGAAACATGATACCTCAAGAAATCAGTTTTACAAAGTTGTAAAACTTACACATATATTACTATTTAATTGGCTTTAGTTGTTCCTTCTTCATTTGATTCCATGATCGTCTAGGGAAACTTCAATTATTCTCTAAACCCCACATGATATTTCTGCATAAACTGTTGTTAAGTAAATGAATGCTTGAATAAGATTATCAGCAAGACTCTATAAATGTTACTTTCTTGGTAGGTATTCCTATTTTATTTCCTAAAGGATCATAAAAATAAATGAGGAAGAGGGCTTCCCCGGTGGCGGAGTGGCTGAGAGTCCGCCTGCCGATGCAGGGGACACGGGTTCGTGCCCCGGTCCGGGAAGATCCCACATGCCGCGGAGCGGCTGGGCCCGTGAGCCATGGCCGCTGAGCCTGTGCGTCCGGAGCCTGTGCTCTGCAACGGGAGAGTCCACAACAGTGAGAGGCCCGCGTACAGCAAAAAAAAATAATAAATAAATAAATAAATGAGGAAGAAACAACTAAAGACAATTAAATAATAACATGAGTACCTTCCCTTTAACTGTCTCTTCTCTTTAGAGGGTAGTGAAGATATGATTTTGTTATGACATTTGTATCAAAACTCAAGCAGGAAATACATGGTATATTAAGAAATCCCGACAAACAAATCCTGTTTGGATTCACACCGTTGTGTCACCTGGGCAAGTTCACATCACTTTCAGGGTACTGGGGAGAGGAAATGAGATACTGTCTGTTAGGCACCTATTATGATAAGGCATAGAGTAGACTTTCAAATAACAATAGTTCTCTTGCTCTTAAATACTGGGTCTTCTATGATGATTTTAAGACCAATATCTCACTTTTACAATTCCATAGGTGCAGCCCCCTGCCAATGCTGAGAATGAGAAGACCTGGCAAGAGATATCAGATGAGATCAAGAAGGTATTTAAGGTTGCTGTAAAACTGTTATATGAAAAGAGGAAAATGAAACACAGCCAAGCCAAGAGGTACCTGTTCTCAGGTAATTTTTATGCATCTTCAGTAAACTGAGGAATAGATAAATAATAGATATATTCGCCGCTTCCCTTTTATGGTTCCGCAAATGTAGTTGCATTTACTGCCTGATGAAATTTAATTTTTCTACATGTTTCCATCTCCTGGGGAGGCAGGTATTCTTTTTATTCAAAGATAAGCCTTTACTTAACTTGAGGAATTCTCCAAAAATGTGACATTAAAAGAACACAGAGGAGGCTGGATATAATAGACCAGACTCTGCCACTGTTTCTCAGTTGAGCTGCTCATTCATTCACTCAGCAAACACTTATTGAGTGCATACCATATGCCAGGCACTGGGACTACAACAATGACAAAGAAGGCAAGGTCTCTGCTCTCCTGGAACTTACTTTTTTAGTGGGGGCAGCGGGGATAAGTGATAGGCAATCAGATAAATGAACAATATCATTTCAGAAAGGATAAGTGCTACGAATAAAACAAAACACAGTAACAGGATAATAGGGATTGATGAAGGCTGCGGGGGGTCCAGATTTAGATGGGGCAGGCGGTAAGGAAATGACTTTCGAGCCAAATGACAGAACGAATCAGAGCCGGCAATGCCATATCTAAAATAGAGAATTCCAGGCAGAAGAATTACCAGGTTCAAGGTCCCTGAGACAGGAATGTGCTTAGCAAATTCTAGGAGCAGGAAGAAGGTAAAGGTAGCCAGGCTTGGAGGAGGAGAGACGAGATCAGAAGGTGGGCACAGGCCATAATAAGGACCTCGTGTTTTATTCTGCTGTCAACAGAAATAATCAATAAACAATCTCTAATAGGAATAGAAAAGAATTTTATTTGAGCCTGAGGACTATAGCCCAAGAGACACAGATTTAAGAAGTACTTAAACTGTGTTCCACCTGACTGCAAAATGGGGGAGGTTCATATAGGCAAAAATCACAAAGTTACAGTTAGTCGTCCCATGAGTCATTTATCAAGAATCATCATTGGAGCTGGCAAGAAGTCAGGATGCTTGTCAAATAAGGATTGGTTGGGGTCTGAAGTGGTCGCACAGGTACAAGGGGAGACCTTGAGACCTAGGCAGATGCTAGCAGATATTGTTTTAAGAACGACAATATCCTTGTATCCTTGAGTCTGATACAGCTCAGAGAATTCAAGTTCTCAGCGATACAGGAACATGTCTGAAAGCACATCTCCAACGGCCACCCGGCTCCATTTTGAATGCCTGAACCACCGTTATTCCGTTTTGATTTTTAAATGGTTAAATCAGATTTTAGTGGTTAAATCAGATGTACAATGCATGTTTGACAGGCCAGAAGACAGGCTGTTGTAGTTAGCATAAACGTCAAGCCAAACCATGTGTAAGCCAGAATGACTTCCCATACCTGTGACAATTTCTTCCATCACTGGGTAAGATGGGAAGCCATCGGAGGTTGGGAAGTAAGGGAGTGGCGGGATCTAATTTAACCTTAAAATAAAAGTCTCCCCAGCTACCGAGCAGAGACTCACCTGTGGGCCTTTCTCAGCCGTGGAAAAGAGGCTTTATTTTGAGGAATTGCCCAGGAAACCACATATCTGAAGAAATATGTCAGTCACAGTTTCCAGGGGACAAACACGCCTGGGTAAAAGTAATCAGTTAAGTAGCATTTATTTTGAGAGTTGATAGTAAAGAATTATTGAAGAAAAAGCAACAGTAGTTGCATTTTCAGACTGGTTTTGTGAATGGTGTAGCAAAACGTTTGTGAAAACCGAAGAAGCACTTGATATCATTCTCCTTGGATATACATGTATTTCAAGCTCAGAGGAATTATATATAATTTTGACAAATTCATTCTCCTGACGCTGTCAAAAAATTAGGTCTTATTTTAGTTCTCCCTAAAAGTACTAAAATTGTCAGGAATAAGTACTATCTTTAGAATATACAGGTTAACATATATCCTTATTCCTTTGGGATCTGTTTGACCCATTTAGAAGCCCTGGTTCTTCAAGGGCAGAACTACCCAGTTTTTAAAAATATGCTGTATTAGGAAAAAAACACCAAGAGCAAAAACTTTCCTATTCCTGATGCAAGAGACACCAGTTAGGGGAGGGTATCCTCTCACTTAGAGTCAGACAGCTCAAGTGTTCAAATATTCATCGGCAAACACTTTCTCTTAATTTTCTCCACACTAAAGAACATGGTCCACATGGATAGCCATATGAAGATTAATAATCTCATACTATGTAGTACACGAGGACTACACGAGGACTATTTTCTACGTGGGGTTACATCTTAAAGATATGCATGATCATGAAATTTTTATTTACTTTACATTCCAAACTCATTTTAAGACAATGTCTGCACAATGAAAATTGCTGAAGAAGGGCCAACTCTTTGAAATGAATAGAGTATATTTGTTTTGTGCCTGTCTCTCCAGCCTATCAATAACCAAGGTTGTGGTTGGACCAACCCTTATGCTTCCTTCTATGATTGCAAGATACCCTTCGGCAATCACCATCAGGAAAGTTTGAAAAAATAAAGCCTTATTACTCACAGGAGCTGGCAATTACACAGCACACCTGGGGCCACACAGCAAGGTCACAGAGAGAGAGAGAGAAAGAGAGAGAGAGAGGGAGGGAGGGAGGGAGGGGGGGAGGGAGAGAGAGAGAGAGAGGGAGGGAGGGAGGGACGGAGGGAGGGAGAGAGAGAGAGAGAGTGAGTGAGCGGACATTGGGTTTTGCTTTTACTGGGCTCACTCTTTATTGGTGAATTTAAAACATAAGAGCGGGAATTTAAAGCACAGGAAGAGAAAAAAACAAGTGGCCCAAAATTTCAGTGATTACTGAAATCAACCAAGATCTCTAAAACAAAGGAACCTCAGTGAGTGGAGGTGGCCTGGCTCTGTATGTGTGGTTGGGGATGAGTTTGTTCAAGATAGCCATCATTGAAGTGGATGCATCAGCAATCAAAGCTCAAATCAGACACATATTACAAACAAACAAACAAAACAAAACCCCCCAAAAACGTCAGGGTTTGTGCTACAATAGTACTTTAATATTTTTAAGCATACCAGATAGAACCTGGAAATGTGTACTATTTATATTTGAATGTATTTTTTCACAACACTTCCATTTTTATCTTTTTAAATAACAGGAAAGGAAGAGAAGTAAATTAGACTCCAAAACAGTGCCCTACTGTGAATGCCACAACTGAGTGGTCTTGGGAATAGTAGAGAGCTGAACGTCTCATGAATGATAGCTGCCAGGGCTGGGAATCTCCCCCTAGTTTTACCTTCATCAGGTTCTGTGATGGTTAAACTTTAGGATATTAAGGAAAACGCAAAGACAGAAAACAAATACATTATTCTAGTAAGGGGGAAGCTTATAATATTCATTGACAAATAAATATCAGGAATTATTATTAATAGAAGTCCCCCAAAATGTTGAGGATGCACTTGGCTTCTAAAAATAACTCTACAGAGTTGATTTTGTCTCGCATGACTCATTTATTCAGGGATATTTATCAACCAGACATTCTTGCATACAGCCTCTTTTTATCCCCCTGAGCCAAGCTTGGATGGGCTCTACCAGCTTGATTTGTCTGTATCTCTTTCCATGTTGCATTTATGATCAACACGTCTGATTGGCACTCTGTTTCCGTAGAGGTGATAACAAAGTCAGGTTACAGTTGGTCTGTTTTCTGGAAGTCGGGGTGACAGTACATATCTCTAATTATCATCCATTACATACAGATACTGCAGGTGGATCACCTCCTTTCTCTTCATGTTACTCGGTATACAGCACTGGCTAACCTAGTGTGCCCCTAGCATTGTACCCAGATGGTTGGAAAAGAGATGGGCCAAAGGCTGCTTCCTGCGGGAGCTCATAATGTCCAGATTTCTTACATCTTCGCCTGTCTACATTATACCAAGTTCTTAATCTTCTATAAAAAGAAGAGTAGACATATGTTACAAAAGCTCCTTTAACTGGCCTCCTGAACCAACTTGCCTGAATAAAACCCTTTGTAAAACATACTGACGTGAGGGCTTCCCTGGTGGCGCAGTGATTGAGAGTCCGCCTGCCAATGCAAGGGACACGCGTTCGTGTCCCAGTCCGGGAAGATCCCACATGCTGCGGAGCAGCTGGGCCCGTGAGCCATGGCCGCTGAGCCTGCGCGTCCGGAGCCTGTGCTCCGCAATGGGAGAGGGCCACAACAGTGAGAGGCCCGCGTACCGCAAAAAAAAACCCAGAAAACATACTGATGTGAATGGCACAGCTCATTCAACACTGGTGGCTATACACATGTCTTTTTTACTTAAGTCACAAATTTTTATCAATTGCTATCATTACTGGAAAAAAACAGTATCACAGAAGTTCTGCTAAAAGGCACCATTTTAAAATAAAATTCCAACCTTCCTTAATAGTTACTCTAGAGAATACATCTATGTTCTAGGTTTTGCTCGATGTCGGCGTTGTGGCCAGCACATTGAGATGTTCTCAGTTACGACCAGACCCATCCCTCCCCCCATGTTTCCACCAGATCCCAGCCCAGTAGTCACCCCCTTAAGAGAGCCTCCCCTGACTTCTCCAAGTAGGTTAGACCTCCGGGTGGGTTTGCTCTCATGGCACCATGTTATTCACCTTCACGGGCCTAAAAATAATCATAATACATTTGTGGGACTCTGTGATTCATGTCTGCCATCCTCCACTGGACTGTAAGCTTCATAAGGGTTTTTTTTTTTTTAACATTCTCAATTTTCTCTTACCATTGTATCCTAAGAAACAAGCAGCGTACCTGGAACATAGTAGATGCTCAATTAAGACCAACCAGATGAAGAAAAGCAGAAAGGCAGAGGAGGAAGGGAGGGCAGCCCATTTTAAAACCCTGCTTGCCTTAAAATTCATTTCCATTGGTTTAATTATTTAATTTATTTTTTATTTGACTTCCCTAAAACCATGCGTAAATGATATTTTTATTACTACTGATCCAATTTTCAATGTTCTTATGGGGCCTCAAATGATTTAGAATGCTTATTTACTTTTATGTAAACATATGTATTGTAAGCCCTAACATGGTTTCTCTCACAAGAAATAAAGCTACAAACTAAGTCATTTTTCTGTACCTGCTCTGATGGATATAATGGTATTTAACAGTGACATGGATAATGGATAAATAAAATCAGCACATAAGTATATTTGAACCCGTTTTTATATTTTTATTGCCACGTATCTGTCTGGGGTACAATGCATCTCAAACAAAATGGTGAAACCACGTTGTAAGGAGAGACTGAGAAGGAAGCAATAGACTAGATACATCACTTGGCCTCTTCCTCATTCTCTCCTGGCCCCAGTCCGTGCCTGCTCTCCACTCTTAGAACTCCTGAAGTCTGGGAGGGAAGCCAAACAGGAACTTAAGTGTCAACCAGAAGCTTGGTATGCTTTCTTTCTTATGCTTATGTTCCCTCAGGTTGCAGAGGAAATTAAATCATTTTATTTAGAACCCACTGCTCTGGGCTCCAGGCTGTTTAGGAAAAGACAAATAGGAAATTAAGGAATTGAGAAATTATTCTAGAGACGACTCTGCTACACACTATAAGCAAAATAAACTACCACTAGTGACTTGAGAGTTATGCGCTCGGAGCGTGGGTGTGTTGCTTCTTTGTTCTAGACAATAAACTCCTTGCTGTATTTTCTTTCAGCTATAGAGGATGAGTTTGACTTTGCTCTAGGGAAGCAAACTCCAGCATTCCTGAAGAAATGTGTTTGCTATATTAGGAAAATTGCTAACATTGAGCGTTTCGTGAAAATCCCGGAGATGGGAAAATACATGGATATAACTGGAGCAGAACCGAGGATTATTCGGGACCCAGAAGCCCAAGAGAAGCTGATAAAACTCCGGGATGAGTTTATTCCTACCATTGTTGCATCATCTAATCTGAGAGTGTACACATCTGTTACTCATTGTGACATGAAACTAGGCTATTCCCAAGAAATAGAAAACCATTACATAGAAGGACTCGGTAAACAATTTTATGAGGACATGATTGACATAATTCAGGCCACGGTACAACAGAATTTTGACACAGAAACGGATACGCTCTATGACGAAATCCTTCAGCATTCATCACTATGTAAAACGTATGCCTCCTTCTACGAGTACAAATGTGAATCTCTAAACATCGTGCATAAATACATTCTTCCAAGCAAAACTGGGCACATCAACCCTCTTGTTATATACGGTGGACCATGCACTGGGAAGACCCTTCTGCTAGCTGAAGTAGCAAAGAAGGTAAAAGCCTATTCTTTTACATGTATATTTGTAAAAAATTTTACTTTGGGGAAAATATCAACTGATCAAATTCACTTCCATTTTCTGTGTTTACTATCCGAATTATAATCGGTCCTTTAGGAATGGATACTTCAGTGTTTCTCTTTTGCTGGTATAACAGTTATACTGAAAGAATAAGACTCACGGGGTCCAATTCTAGAACAGCTTTGTTTTGTCTCTTACTGTTCAAACTCATGTTATGGGGCTAGTTCTCACCTAGATAGAAACTAGGGCAGATCTCACAACTCTTCTCATCACTCTCAGCAAAGACGAGCACTCCAATCGCTTCTGGATATTAACTCCATCTTAGTTCAGCAATTACTCTGTCCAGTCAAAGATGATAATTAAAACTTCAGTCTACATCTCCCTGCCTGAGCCGAGGTCGACCATACACAAGGCACCTCCAGTGGGAAATAGGGACACGGCCACCTTCTCTTTTCTTTCAGCACACAGCACTTCTTCCCCTCTGTCCCTAACCCCAGCTGCATTCTGACCCCTGCAGGGTTGTGGTTTAGGGGCTACATCCCCTAAAGGTAAGGTGGCCAGAACATTCTTATATGACCAGTACTGTTCTGACCTGGGTTCGGCACTCTGGTCCTGGCAGGTGTTTAACACTTCCGTTTCTTCTGAGGTCTTTTCATGTTTCCCAAAGGTCCTTTCCCTCCCCCATCCCCCACCTTGTCCTCACTGAGCATCTCTCACCTACAGTTCCCTAGGGTGACACAGGGAACTGCATTGCTTTTCTATCTAGCTGGTCACCTCCATAGCTCCTAGACATCCAGCAACACACATTTCTAGTATCTTTCTTCCAAGAACCTCTCCACAACCCAGCAAACCCCCTTAGACCTGGGAAAACAGAACCGACAGAAACCCTCGTCAGCTCATGCTTGCCAGTGGCCCACATCTGATACATGGGAAACACTCAGGTATTGTTTTGCCCTGAGAAACTCCAGCTCCAATACGGCAGCTCTCTTATCACTCCTCCATCAGAGCAGCTAGCCAGCCTCACTCACTCAACCTCCATATTCCTCAGATGTCATCAGATACAGATGGCCATGTCTCCCAAGCCCTAGGGGGCGTCCTGAAAGTGGTCCATTGCAGCCCCTTTCCCTAGGCTAGAAGTGAGGGGTGGGCATCTCTCAGCCCTCCCCTTTGGGAGTGGGGTGGTGAGAGATACAACTTACAGCATCCTCATCTCCCACTTTTTTCTTGGCCTCTTGAATCTCTTTTTCAGGCTGGAGGTGGGTAGTCCATCAAAGGTAGCAAAACTAATTTTCAAAACTCCCTTTCAAGTCTTGCAAGATGGGCCGGAGCTTCTATCTGAATGCGGTATCTATTGTCTAAACTGGCTGACACTAGTACCAGTTTTAACCTTCTGTTACACTTGCTATCAAAGTCTGATGGTTTATATTATCCTGGTGTTACTTCAGAATCTTTGTATTGTTCTTCCCATGGTCAGTCTCTTACGAACAGATCTTTCTTTAACTTTGTGAACATTCTCATGATTTATCACGTGCTACACAATTTCAGGTAGATCATCTTGAGGACAAGAACTGGAACAATTGTGTTGCCCCTTATGGGGGGATTACGTTCCAAAGTAAGGTCACAGGAGACAATCGGGTGTATCAGCTTATTGGGTTGGCCAAAAAGTTCATTCGGACTTTTCTGTAACACTTATGGAAAAACCTGAACGAACTTTTTGGCCAGTCCCAATACTTGAAAAGTTCTGAGGAAGGCCCATTTACAATCTCTTAATCTGCCAAGCCCAGCTGCTGGTTTTTCTTCTTGTGTTAGGATGTGCTTTCTTTCTTTAACTGAACACCCAATGAAATGGCAGGCTTACACTTAAGGGACAGGTTGCATCAAAATAAACGTGTGCATGTGCACGTGTGTGACTGTCTGTCTTTGAACACTACTTTGTACATCCATCTTCAAACTTTAGAATTATTCCAAGGAAGCAAGATAGTAACACTACAAGGGGAACTGAAATCAAATGAGAAAACATTGGTGTATGCATTTCACCCTCATTCTGGGGCTTTTTCCTTGTGGAGCAGGGGAAGGTAAAGGTGGTTGGAGGGCCAATGTGCATGTGATGTGACCCTGTGTGTCTAGCATGGGAGTTACATGATGTGTGCTGATATGCCTGTATACATACGCAGTTCCTGTGGCCAGTGTGGTGACAGTCAGGTTTCTGAGCTCTCGCTGTTGCGGATATGTTGTCCAACCACCAGCTCTCCTGAGGAGGCTTGCCTATTTCCAGGTCCCCTGCCTGGACTCTGCCTGCTTCTCCTCCCTCCTGGGGAACATCTGCTCCCCCCACCCCCTGCCACCCCCACCAACAACAACCTGTGCTCTCGTGAGCTCACGTTCCTTGTAAGGATGCAGACAGGCCTCCCATGTTTATCTCCAGGTTACCTCCTGTGCAATCGACTTCTCCTTGGACATGAGCTCATGATCAGAGGGCCATTCTTTACAGACATCACACATCCCACAACACGTGATTGGGAGGAGGGAGGACGATGCATATAATCACCATAAGCCACCCACATAGGGACAAACAAACTGTCTTCTGTTTCTGATTTGCCACCGAAGGACAGCTGTAAAATGGCAACATTACCTTCCTCCAAATTAGCTTCAAAGGTTTGGGCCAAACACTGACAACGAGTTGCTTATTTTCCTTAACAGTTCATTCTGAAACTGACATCCATGAATCTTTTCTCAACTTACTCATACGTTAACCTGAACTACCAATTGGGGAAACAAGTTTCATAAACTTACTTCTTAATGTGTTAAATAATATGTCCTTTTCTAAGAAGTATCCTCGGTGAATTCCAAGGATTACTGAATAGTATTTTCTCCCTAAAAATATACTTTGGAGTATTTTATACTTTGATCATATCCCTTTTTGTCTTTACCTTTCCAGACAGAAAAATATTAAACCTAGCACCCCCCTCATATACTTTATCTCTTTAACTATACAATTTAAAAAGGGAGAGTGGCAGAGAGAGAACACTAGAATGAAGGTCAGATATGACTTCTACTCCATTTTCATCTCTTGGTAATCATTTAACCCCAAGCAAGCTATTTTTGGCCTTGGTTTCCTCTTCTGTTACATGATACTGTAATCCCATGTGCCCTACAGAGAGACAATACGAGGCCTGATGACTGCCTGTGTTATATAGTAAACTGTCTGTTATAAAGCACAAATTCAGCAAAACTCGTTTAACCAGCATTATATAGATTTTTGTGGTAATGATAAAAAATAATCATAATGATGACCCTATAGCATCACAGTAGAGTAAAGTGTCTCTGAATCATACAAGATTATATTCAGTATCATTTTAGTGCTGAGTATTTTTATTGCATTCTAATTAACTGGAAATGTGGTCAGCCACATATATAGCCTTATGTGATCTCAATTAAGGAAATTATTTGACTCAGTATAATGTGTAGGTCATTACTTAATCTATACATTAAACAAATATTCACCAAGCACCGACCATGTGCCAACAACCATGCCAAGAAATGGAAATTCAGCGATGAGAAACTAAGCATACTAGATATTCAGGTTTACAGTTTGTGAAATGCTTTGTAACTTTTAGAATACAAGCTAAATTCTGCCTTGTGATTGACAAATACTGTGATCACCATTTTAATACCTTTAGTAGAGGGAGCCTGAGGGTCTCACCTACAGACTTTAGTGCATGAGCTTTCTGACAGCTCTCTGACCATCTCAGGCTTTTCCACTTCCTGGTTCTAAGGTACTTTCTGCCTGGTCAGGGTTACCAGAAGGCTGATCTCTGCAGAGGGCAAGTGTTGTTGCATGTGACCATGTGAATATATCTCTCCATTCTAAACACCACCTTTATGTTCTAGGCTTATGGCTGGCTACATGAAGACACAGGACCAGAATCTGACCCAGTCATAGTCGTGAGGTTTCTAGGAACCACAGACATGAGTACTGATCTTAGGACTCTCCTTCTAAGTGTCTGTGAACAGTTGGCCGTGAACTACCGGTGCCTGGTTCAGAGCTACCCTAAGAAGATCCATGACCTCCGCGACTTATTTATAAACCTCTTGAATGAGTCTTCATTGCAGAGACCCCTCGTGGTCATATTCGATGCCCTGGAGCAGCTCTCAGAGAGCCACGAGGCCAGGAAGCTCTGGTGGCTCCCGGTTCACCTTCCCCGATTCGTCCGGATTGTCCTCTCCACGCTGCCCAACAAACATGGGATCCTACAGAAACTAAGGTGCCTTATCCACGAAGAAGACAACTACATCGAGCTGATTCCCCGGGACAGGAAGATGTGCAGCCAGGTGCTCAAACACCAGCTGCTGCGGGTCAAAAGGAAGGTCACGTCGGGCCAGCAGATTTACGTGAACAACGCCTTCTCCAAGTGCACGTTGCCCATGTTTGTGAACCTGACCTTTAGGGAGGTGAGGAACTGGCGATCTCACAGAGACGTCGATGAATCCTCCCTCTGTGTCACCGTGCACGAAAGCATAGAGCAGCTCTTCTGCTCCCTGGAGAGGAAGTGTGGGCAGAAACTCGTCTCCCGGGCTCTAGGTTACATCACCATGGCCAAAATGGGTTTGAGTGAAATGGAGCTGGAAGACGTGCTGGCCCTTGACAACAGTGTGATGAATGAGCTCAACGAGAGCGTCAGGCCCAGCAATCCCCTGAGGGTACCTTATCTGTACATCGCGAGGCTCAAGGAGGGGCTCAGTGGATACTTAATCGAGAGACACGTGAAGAACATCACCCTCCTGGTCTGGGCCAACAGACACCTGCAGCTCATAGCCCAGAAGCTATATCTGCAGGATAACAGTGACCTGCATGAAATGCATACCATCCTGGCAGACTATTTCCTGGGGGTCTGGTCAGGGGGCAGAAGGAAAGCTTTCTGCCTTGAAGACCCCTACCTGAATGGCTGTCTTGACTTGGAGAGCAGAAGCCTGCTTGAGGAGGAAAAGCATTTCACGGAGCACGCTTCCTTCGACAGGCAGGCCCCGGACCAGCCCTGGGTCTTTCAGTGCAACCCGCTGGAGCCTGACATCTTTTTCGTCAACCATCGGAAAATGTGTGAGCTCCTGCACCACCTGACGAGGTGTGGGAAAACCGATGACCTGCTCTACGGCATCATCATGAACTTCAGCTGGCTTTACACCATGATCAAAATTGGCCAGTTTGACAAGGTGCTCTTGGACATCGAGCTGGCTTACAACTGCTCGCAGGAGAAGGAGCTGAAGTTCCTGGCGAGCACCCTCCGCAGCATCAAAACCAAGGTCGTCGCGTTCCCCGGCTCCCTTTCCGCAGAGCTTCAGCAAAGACTGCTGCCCGTCGTGAGTTCCCTGCCCAAACTTAGACACCTTCTTTTAGAATGTGACAAAGATGGGCCCAAATACTGCTCCATCGTGCCATTACACTCATCCATGGATGTGACCTATAGCCCGGAGCGTCTTCCCTTGTCATCTAGTCACCTGCACGTCACCGAGATTCTGCCCACCTGTAACCCCAGTACGGTGCTCACAGCTTTAGAAAACGGTTCCATCAGCACGTGGGATGTGGAAACGCGTCAACTACTCAGGCAGATCACGACGGCCCAGTCTGTCATCCTGGGCATGAAACTCACCAGTGACGAAAAGTATCTCGTGGTGGCAACGACAAACAACACCTTGTTGGTTTACGACAATGTAAATTCTTGCCTCCTGTCTGAAGTGGAAATCAAAGGGACCAAGCATGGAAGCGGCTCCACCTACATCAATGGATTTACACTGTCCGTCAAACACGCTCTGGCCTGGCTCGAAGCCAGCAAGGACGTCACTGTCATCGATCTGCTCTACGGATGGCCCCTATACCAGTTCCACTGCTGGTACGAAGTGACCTGTGTCCAGTGCTCTCTGGATGGCGTGTATGCCTTCTGTGGACAGTACCTGAACACCACTACCATCTTCCATTTAGGGAGTGGAGAAAAGTTATGTACGGTGACGTCTGAATTTTCAGGTGGGTTTGTGAAGTTCCTTCTTATCTTGGACACGGCTCAGGAAATGGTAATGGTAGACAGTGAGGGAAGCCTTTCTGTTTGGAACACTGAGGACATCTCCAACCCCCAGCTGACCGATGACTTTGACTGCCGAAGAGAAGATAGTGAAGTGGTCAGCATTGAGCTTTCAGAGGACCAAAGTGCAGTTCTGATCTGTAAAGCCCTCAGCATCGAGCTCTTAGATACCGGTATGTGGAAGGTGGCTGAAAAGTTCAGAGCGAAGCACAACGAACGCTTTATATCGGCTGTGCTGTCCAAGAATGGAGACTGCATCATTGCAACCATGGAAAACACCTCGGCCGTGTTTTTCTGGAGGCGGGACACGGGACAGTGTATGGCGAGCTTACAGGAAATCTCAGGTACCATAGTCAAGTTGGTGAAATCCAGTCATCACAACATGCTGCTATCTTTATCCACCAGTGGTGTTCTTTCTATCTGGGACATAGATATAATCACAGCTATGTCCAACATAGATAAGACTGGAAAACCCATCCAAAGTCTGGTGTTACCCGCTAGGGGGGAAATCATTTACTCCCTCGATGGCTCTGATTGTGTTCACAAGTGGAACTTCAGCAGTGGGTTCCTTGAAGCAGTATTTAAGCATGAAGGAATAGTTGAACACTGTGTGTTGACATCCTCTGGAGACGTCATGGTGACATCGGATGACAAGAGCAGCCAATACGTCTGGCATACCAGCAGCGGTGAAAACCTCTTCCGAATTAATGGGCAGAGAATATCTCAGCTGCTGATTACCCACAATGACCAGTTCGTGGTCTCTCTCTGTGAGGAAAATGCCTCCAGGGTTTGGAGACTAGCCACGGGCCACAGGGTATGCAACATCCTGACCACTCTGCAGAATGCCTTCATAACCTCTGCAAATACCTTCGTGGTGGGCATGACCAAAAGCAAGGTGCTGGCAGTCAGTCTTTGGACGGGAAGCATCACCAAGAAGGTCTGCTGCGAAGACGGCACCACCATTGTGAATTTTAAATTGATCCCCGATTGTCCGGACATCATTGTGTTTATCACGTCAGCCGAGACGGTGAATATCTGGAGTCTGACAGATGAAGTGATCTGTCGCCGTGTGCAACTTCCAAACAACTTCCTGAAAAATCTAGAGGATTTTGAAATTTCCCCCAATGGAAAGCTAGGCATTATTTCCAGGGGAGATGAAAATATCAACGTGCTGGATTTACACAGCGGTAAATTACGGGTGGTTCACGCCTCTGGGGTCATCTGGAGGCACAGGTTGTCTCGAGACGGTCGCTACCTGGTATACATTTGTTTCCGAAACGGGGAGGAAGAGGACGAAAATGGTGCGATATCCAGTTTGATTGTCATGAGACTGGCCGATGGCAAAAATATCGGTGCTTGCTCCCTTTACAAAACTCCAACTTTTCTTGCCCTCTCCCAGCGGCACCTGAACATCATTGTGGGTTTTGACGACGGCAGTATAGGGATATACACGGTGGTAGACCGCGTAGACGCTGCACTGAAAATTAAAATAGCCACTTCAAATAGCAGACAAATTTTCAATAATGCGACACAGACATCCAGGCCAAAGTGTCATAGTTACTGTTTTAAAATGTCTGTGGATTGCTTATGGAGAGAGTCCACTGAGGTCTTTGCAAGAGACAGTCCCATCACAGTGAGTGACTCCATGGAGCCCAACGAGGCGACGCCCTCCAAGAAACACAACTCTTGCTATGACCGGGTGTGCTCCGCCCTGGAATCCAGGGGCCACAGCTATGCCCCTGACAACTGAAAAAATGTTTTTCCTGCTCAGCAGAAATACATAATATGTAAAAGAAAAAAAAAAGTATCTTCTGTATCCCAGATGATAAACACTCATTCTTAAAGGACAGGAAAGATGCTGGAGTCCCAATGCTAATTATTGCCATGCTCATGAAATGTACAGAAATGTGAAATTGGTTGTGAGGTTGGTCTTCTTGACAAAGTGTATCCAGGAACGAAGTCTTAACAGAGAATTTCTACAAATCGTATTTACATGGCTATATCAACTGGAAGTTAGAGGGTAGTTTTTAAATTAACTGGACGGGAAAAAGCAGCTTAACTCATCCCATTGTCCAGATGAGAGAGGCTAGAGCTACATAGAGACCATTTGGACTGAAGTTAGTTCTACAGCAACTGGTTGAAATTTGTAAACACAAATTGCTGTTGGACTTCAAGTGATTGTGTGGATAACTAAACACAGCCTTAATCTCTCCTTACATTTTATGATCCTGACAACTGTGTCAATCCAGTCTGCAGATGGAAGGTCTAAAGGTGCAAAATAATGTAACAAAAATGCCCAGATGTACTCCCAGTTTCCCAGGAGAAAGGATGTGAAGTGTGAGGCCACAGACTGACTGGGGCAAGAGCTACCTACCGCTATCATAGGGCTACTGAACACACAGAGTCGGTCTTCATTAAAATACAGTTGTGACAACTGCATGCAAGGGTTTCTGTATAATGGAACACATGATTTTTAAACTATTTTCTGGGCTGCAAAAGAACACATTTACTAAGAAACCACAATCTTTTCATGTCATTTTGAAATGTCTATTTGTGCTGGGTGTAAAAAAGAGTTACAGAAAGGGCATTACAAATTTGGTCAAAACACCTGTTCATTGCTATCATTGTACTAACAAAAGGCTGTGCTATGGAAGTCAGTTGTACCGAAGCATAAATTATTTCCTAAATCCCTGCAGTAAATCTTAATAGAAGGAAAGCTTTCTCGACATGCCATCTATGGAATACTGATGACATCTGCCTTACTCTCATTCCTCCTCTTTCCTGTGTAAAACGCAGATAGCTGACCAAATACTCTGGGACAAACTGAATATGCGTGTCTTTGTGCTAAAATATTCTGTAAATCTTAAGGGTGTCCAAAGGCTCTTTACTGTCCCTGTTTGTACTCACTTTCTTACTTCTACACACTGTATGAATCCTTCTTTATCTGTCACCCTTTCTGCCTGAGGACTCTCTAGAGCCTTTTATAGTCTTCTCCGTTTCAAAGCAGAAGCTGTGAAATTGGTATTCGATGTTTTTAAAAACTACTCCTCCTATTTAAAAGAAAATATTACATCTCAAAAGGGGAAAGTGATTTTCTTCCTTCCCTATCCTCCTCATGGCACGTCCTTGGATGCCTTTCCAAAGGGCGTCAGTAGTGGGGGTTTGGTTTGGTTTGAAAGGGACAGTGGTGACTTGAGAAGGCAGAATAATGAACAGGGAACTGACTCGCTTTCAGTCCAGCTCTGCCATGAACTCATCCAATATTCGTAGACAGATCTTTTAACCGCCCAAATGTATTGTTTTTGTAAACTGCAGAATAAGGGTAGTGATACCTCCTGCTATTGCTCTCATAGGGATGTGAGGGAGAAATGGGAGAAAAAAGAGAGTGACATCTTAATGGTTAACGCTAACGCAAGAAACAAAGTGATTTAACCCACCGGGAATCCAAGCCAACTGTACGTCAATTTGGAAGGCGGCTTGACAGGTAAGCATACAGGGATGTGATTCCAATATAGACACCCACTCCCTAGTGAAAGACTTTTTTTTCAGTATACTCCTCCTGGTCTAGCTACCAGCCAGGGAGGTGGTAGCCCAGAGAAGGCTCAGCCCACATACAGACCACGTGGAGTTGACTGAGTCAATGCTTTTTTTTTTAGCTCTTCGGAGGCAACACATTCTTATTCCTGTCATTATCAGTTGGACCTCCATGCTACACATTTCTAAGAAATAAATGTCTAGATGGATTAAATGTAGTGTGTGAATGTTCTATGTAACAGCCAACAGAGTTTAACAAGTGACTTGAATGATTTTTCCTAACTTGTTTGCAACTGATAGCTCATATTGAATGTTTTTATGTAAACTTTGTATTGTTGGGAAGAACTACCCAATCAGAGATCTATATTTTCATAAATGTTACATTTAGTTAAATTTTATTACAGAGTTGTTACACTAGAAAATTATTGCCGTCTTCAAAAAATGTACAGTCTTGTGTAGGTATTGTTTGTATGAATAAAAGATAAACTACTTAGATTTGTGTGGTGTTTGTTTTTCTCCCCCAACTTTGGCAGATGTAGTTAGAGGTCTTCAGTAATAATAGCAATAATAATAATAATTGTTCATGCTTACTGAGTGCTTACTGTACACGAGCTTTGCATGTGCTAAGCCATGTAATCTTCACAACAGCCAGGTGAGGTATGTACTGTTAATACTCCAAACGTATAGATGAAGAAACCTAAAAACAGAGGTCCAGAGGGAATCGCTGAAGAGAATTTCAATACACCATCAATTTTTTTTTTGTTGTTAACTTCTCAAAGCACATAAAAATAAAGCATTGAGTATCCAGCAGGAACTTACTGCTAATGACCTAGAAGATATTTTCTAATTTAAAGATTAGAGGCCAGGCTAGGCTCTGAAGATCACTGGAGGTCTTTGCAAACTCCCAGGATTTTCAGGTATAACCGTAACTGCAATAGTTGCAGTATTCATCCAACAAATATTTACTTCGGCATACAATTTGCCAGGAATACAAAGATTAATAAATAGTTTACACCTTCTAGGACTTCAGTCTTAATAGGAAAACAGGAAACAAGTTCTATGTGTAGTACATGAAGTTTGGTTCTCAGAGAAAATGTAGAGGAGTGGATCGTTATTATTTGCATAAAAGCATTTCATATACATGGAGTTTGTTGTTTAATTAAATATCTTCCTTCCTAGGGTCAAGAACACAACAAACACTGTGCTTGCTATGTCTAAGTCATTATGCTATGCCTAGGATGATTTAAAAATTAGTCACGCACAACCCCTGCCCTCCAGGATCCTATCATCTAAGGGAGGCGCAACTAAATTGGATGTAAGACAGACTGTGATTTAAAAAAAAGTTGTTAGCCAAAACAAAAAAAAGTGAAAAGTGAAAGCCAGGTACTGAGGATACACTGCAGAGGAGCAATTAACTCTAACTGGGAGTCAAAAAGGATGGCAAGAGGAGGTGACAGAGAGCAGTGGCTTGAAGGATAAGTAGGACTTAGCTGTCAGAATGTCAGAAAGACATTTCAGGTGGAGGAAGCTGCGTGAGCAAAAACAGGGAGCGTCAAAGTCTACTTAGATGACTTCAAATGCTATGTGGGGATTTTAAACTTTATTCGGTAGCCAATAGGGAATCATGAAAAAGTTTTTGAGAAGGGGAATAGCCTAGTTGAAATGGTAATTTTTAAAATGACTGGGGCAGTAATATGTCAGATGAATTAGAGATGAAAGAGACCATAATCTGGGAGACCAGTAAAGAGACTATTGCAAAGACCTGAGATAGAAAGTATAAGAACTCGATCTTAGGGCAGTGGCAGTAAAATTGCTAAGAAGAGTGATTTCAGGATGTCACTGATAGAGGTGGGTGATGAAAGAGAAGGAAAACTCTAATTCCAGTTCCAACTGAAATTGAGTGGAGAGTAGAGTTACAAATGTAAAAGGAATAGGTTAGGAGATGAAAATGAGGGAAATAATAAAGTTGGACCCAGAGAGTTTAAAGGTTAAGACATCCACACAGGCAACTGGTAATACACGATCCATTCAATGAAGAAACCTGAGCTAAAGATAAAGAATCCAACCAGTAATCTCTTTCTCAAAAGTCTAAAATGCCTAATATGGAACTCGTTTGGTTGTAATGTAAGCCAATACCATAACCTTTTTAAAAGTTTGTCTCTTCTTTAGAACTATATTGACAAATTTAGAACTATACTGACAAATCCACTCAAACAAATTAGCTTTCTAAGCTTCCATAACTCATCAGCGGAGAACAATTTATATGCCAATGAAAACATAAACACACCTAAAACCTAAGTGAATCGTGGTGTTTCATTCCCACACACATGACGCACGGCCTCTCACTGTTGTGGCCTCTCCCGTTGCCGAGCACAGGCTCCGGACACGCAGGCTCAGCGGCCATGGCTCACGGGCCCAGCCACTCCATGGCATGTGGGATCTTCCCGGCCCGGGGCACGAAGCCGCTTCCCCTGCATCGGCAGGCGGACTCTCAACCACTGCGCCACCAGGGAAGCCCTTCCTTATTTTTTATGAGGGTCCCCTCTGAGCTCCATTTGGCATTCCATGTGAGCTGCATGAAATACAGATTACACTTTGTACAGACACATCAAAGGGTTCAGTTTCAGTGTATCAACATGACAAATTATGTAAAACTGGCAATTTGAGGTTACCAATAACACCACCACCTGTGGCTTTATAGAATCCCAGCCTTTAGTAGATGAGGGTAACTTAGCCAGCTGCATAAGCAGATTCAGGGTGGTGGTGCATCATTTTGTTCAAACACAGATTACTGGGGCTTCCCTGGTGGCACAATGGTTGGGAGTCCGCCGGCCAATGCAGGGGGCACGGGTTCGTGCCCCGGTCCGGGAGGATCCCACATGCCGCGGAGCAGCTGGGCCCTTGAGCCATGGCCGCTGGGCCTGCGCATCCGGAGACCGTGCTCCGCAACGGGAGAGGCCACAGCAGTGAGAGGCCCGCGTACCGAAAAACAAACAAACAAACAAACAAAAAAACTTCACCCTCCCTGATTCCACTATCTTTAAATCCATATGTCTGGGGTGGAATCCAAGAATCTGCATTTTTACTAAATTCTCCCAGATGATGCTGATTCTACCAGTCTGGGAAACACACTTTAAAACCCAAGATAAATACCAACTGGTCAAAATAACCAACCGATAAACTTACCAGTGGACATTTCTAAAGCATGGGCTAGAAGTTGGACAAGAGGGTCCTTTACTGTGACAAAGAGTTTTATCAGACAGTGATGTAAAACAGCACACAACGTCCCCTGTAAATCTATCGTTTTAAAGCATGCAGCTACTACACAAGCGGAAGGATTCAAAAAACGAGTTTTCCCCCATAAAGCGTGACAAATGTTGTCGTGTAAATGGCGCTGGAATCACTAGAGTGGACACATTAAGAACTAAGGGCAGTGTGTCCATCTCTAAACAGTATTCTGCCCTGTTGCTTCTCCAGCATCCCTGAATGAATGAAGGGGAAAGGGAGAAGAGGGCAAGCCAGGTGGCGCCGTAGCTTAACACATTTTCCTGCCAAGCCCAACACTAACGCACTTTGGAGCACAGGTGAAAACAATCTCCAACCCTTAAGTACTATTTTAGAGTAAAGCAACCCACCTTAAGTGCATGGATTGCCACAAGCACGGGCGTGGAGCTCAGGAGGGTAGACGGGGTGTGGCAGCCGAGGTTCCAACACCCCAGGAACAGAGAGGGAAGGTGAGGGGCGGGGGAGCATGACTTCGTTGAACTCCCACCGCGGTCTTGAGGGTGCAGGCGAGGCTGTGCAACTTCCCCGGGAATTCTCATTCTAGTAGCGTCTGCGCTCTTTCCCAGACCATCTATCCCATAAAGGCAGGCGACAGTGCACACACCAGGTGTAGGCGGCTAATACCAGCACGGGGTGGGGGGGGGGGGGGGGGGGCGGAAAAAAACCCACAGGTTTGGGGGGGGGGGGGGAACGGGAGACAGATTTGCCAGGGAGTGCATTTATGTATCTCCCCCCACTTACGTCCCAAATCTTAGGAAGCTCCCTTCTCCCTGCAGCACGACGCCCAAATAGGCACCAAAAAGTTTCCCTGCGCGGGCAGAGGCTGGCATGCAGCCTGGGTGTCGGTGATCAGAGGCCGAGCTCCGGGGTTTTCTGTTTGGGTGCGCCCCGCAGGCCAGCCCGGGCTCGGGGGCGTCGGCGGTGGCGCTCCGGAGGCCCAGGCGCGGCGCGGCCAGCTCAGGTAAAGGGTTACGCGGACCCGGGAGGCTCGCCCGCCGGCCCGGCCACGTGACGCGCCGGCCCAATGAGTGCGCCGGGGAGGCCGTTGCGGGCGCGGCGGATCCCCGCGGCGCTGAGCCGCTGGAGTTTCCCGGCGCGGCCGCCCGAGGCCGGCGAAGCCATGGGCGCCGCGACCCCGCCGCCGCCGCCGCCGCCGCCGCCCGGCCCCAGGTAGGGACAGTCTCCAGCCCCGCGCGCCGGGCCCCGCCGCGGGCAGCACAGGCGCTTGACTCCCGCGGAACTCGGGTTTTGTGGCAAGGTTCCCCCCACTTCTCTTACGGGGCATTTTTATTTATTTCCTTTGCCGTGGGAAAAGAAAAAAAAGTGGGGTATGGGGAGGTGAGGCAGTTCTTAGTTTGATTGCTTCGGGAAAGTCAGGCCATTCAACAAAGGCTCTGAAAGAGGCGAAATCCAGAATGGGGTGAGGTGGGGGGGACTTTTACAAACTCCCCCAAACTAAAGACCAAGACAGTTTGCAAAGCTTGGCATCTACTTGATGTGTGAAACACTCTTGTTTTTCAATATCTTATTAATGAACTTTCAATAGTGCCTGAGAACTTGAACTGGGAAAACTGCAAAAGATTTCCCCCTTATTTCTAAGTACCCCCTCCTTCCCCCATTTTTAAGCATGTGAATGTTTTTAAGTAAAACGGAAATGGAAGGTGACCGGCGCTCTTTGAAATGTCCTTGGGTCCCAGGATTTGCCCCCTTTGGGGCGCTGGCGATGAGTAGGGATTGAGGGGAGGCGCCAGTACTAGGAAGCAGCACGTGTTGAAGGAGGGTCCCAGGTGCAGCCGGTTAAATGGTGAGACACTGTTGGCTGAATATTTGATAATTAGGCAAGTATCTCCCAGGTCGATTACTTGGGTCTCAGTGACCTTGGCAGTCCAGAAGAGGTGAGATTTTCACAAACCACCACTGAACAAATTTTCCAGTGATAAAGACAAAAATCAATGTTTTGTTTTGTTTTTCCTCAAGCACTAATTCACCTTAGAAACAAAACAAAAACTTCCTTTAGTAATTTAGTACATGTTGTTTTCCATTGCAGTATAGATGTTTGCCCAGTGAATTTAGAGGAAGTCAGTGTTCCATGAGGTGGTTCAAAGCATTAAAGAATAGGGTGTTTATTTTCTTCCTGTCACTGCTAGAGAGAATTACTGATGGCAGTTCTCACCATGGCTTGTAGGTGGTTGTAAACACGCTATTTTGGAAACACTTGAGAGTTGAATGAGAAAGATGGGGAAAGTGGTTGCTGCTTTTAAAGACAATAGGTTCTATTATTTGCCACTTATTCTCACACTGAATCCTCCAGTTAACACTATTTTAAGAAGGAGACACGTTAAAGTCTTCTAAGGCTGAGCACCCAGGTCTGTAGAACATCCGAACAGTCATGAGGCAGATCACTGAAACAATAACCAAGCTCTGAAGGTGAAGTAGAGTTCTGGGGTTATTTGTATTTCTCTAATGTGTGAAGAGTCAGTTATAGGAAGCTGCCTTGATCACAGAGGCCAAATGGAGCAGACACTGATACAAGAAGGCAAGGTTCGGCTTCTTTCTCTTCTTTGCTCTCTGTGTCCCTTCTGATCCTGTTCTTTGATTCAGTAAGCATGTGATAAGCTCCTATCTCATGGCATCTGTTCCCCGGGCCTGGTTATCAGAGGTTCTCAAGATTTAGATATGTAATGACATCTGAAGATCAAGGTGGCCAGTCTTAGCTATGTTCTAAGAGCTTTTGCATATCTGGAATTTAAAACAAAACAGTGACTTGAATGTCAACTAAACATGTTCCTTAGCCTAGAATGGAGCAATCCCCCATGACTTTCCACCTAGTCCCTGTCTGAGCCTGGCAACATAACCAGGCTAAGCCCTGGCCAGAATCCAGTGTCAGCCCAAGGGCAGAGCAGGTAATGCCCTCCTTGCTCTGGGAACAGCCCTACCCTTGGTGCCGTGAGAGCCCATTGACTGTGCTTCCAGGAATGGACTCCAGTTTCCGAATAATTGAATACCAGCCTCTTGGTAGCTGGGTTTCCTCTACCTGGACTGTTGCAAATTCCTCTAGTTCCACAATTTTTTCAATAACCCAGAACCTTGGGGTCTTTTAGGCTCTTGGTAAAATAGTACCTAGCTCCTGCCCTTTTTTTTTTCTTTCTTTCTTTTTTTGGGGCATTAGATTGATTATTGGTTGCAGATAGACTTACTAGATATCTAGAAAAGAGGAGTTGATAGGCTTATCCTAGGGGAGAGGATAGACCTGAGCCCTCACCCATCTGCAGGTCAGCCAGGTCACCCCATTATAGCCTTCCTTAGTCTAGTTATCACCTGAATGCTATGTAAGAAAATGAAATGAAAATGAAGTGTTTTATCTACTCTCACCCTTTTCACCTGAGAATATCATGGTCCCACAGAGATTGGAATCTTCAAAAGGACCATAGATCACCAAAATGCCCCTATCCTAAAGCATGCTTATAACACACCCATCAGGTGAATATGTATCCTCAAGCAGAGACTTAAAAAAACTCAAAATACTGACTCAGTGTCATCAAGCATCTTAGAAAAGACTCTCCTGAGCTGCAGTAAATATCAATAGTATTAACATAAGGCAAGAGGAATATCATGTCTCCGATTTTACCGCAAGCAGTGAACTCTGTTCTATTCCGGGTACAATTGGCTTTCTAAAATTAAGTGGAACCCTGACCTGGCCAGGGTTTGTAGACATTTGGTCAGATGCTAGGGACACAGTCCTTGCCTTTGGGGGTCTTACAGTCCTCAGAGAAGACATTGGAGGATTTTAAGCAGAGCAGATCTGCATTTTAGAAAGTTCACTCAGGCTGCAGTGAGAAGAATGAAATGGGGAAGAAAGGCTGCTGCTAAGAAAATCCCCACTAGAGGGGAGAGAGAAGTGAATTGATTCAAAAGATACTTAGGCAAAGGTATTTAAGATACTAACTCAAAGAAAATATTAGGTGACTCAACTCTCTGAAAAGTTGACCTGTCATTTCAAAATATGTGTGTTCCAGGTAGATAACCAGAAGCGACGTTTCATTACAAGGCTGTCCCTACTGACTGTAGCTACTCTCAGGCCCCACGTAATTTGTTTCTATCACAGAAAAAAGTTTTTGAAAAAGAATGAGGCTGGGGATTCCCTGGTGGCACAGTGGTTGAGAGTACGCCTGCCGATGCAGGGGACGCAGGTTCGTGCCCTGGTCCGGGAAGATCCCACGTGCCGCGGAGCGGCTGGGCCCGTGAGCCATGGCCGCTGAGCCTGCGCGTCCGGAGCCTGTGCACCGCAACGGGAGAGGCCACAACAGTGAGAGGCCCGCGTACCGCAAAAAACAAAAAAAAAGAATGAGGCTGTTTTTTTATTCACACTTTCAACAACTTGGTGCTTCTTTATGCAGACTTAACTATGTATATCTGAAGGCAAAGTTAAGATAAACTGTTGCCCTCAGATTGTACACACATTCTCTGATTTAGCTTAATTCCTCCCAGGAATAAAAACACCCTGACTTTTGATTGTGTAACAGTAATGGAAGTGGGCAGTGGAACAGTCCTTTTTTTTTTTTCTAAGTTGGCCACAGTATGGCCTGCTGTATGTCACAGGGAAGACTGTATCGTATTTGCAGAGGGCACTGTTAGAGCATGTACTAGTGGTGTGTGAGAGGCACCAAATGCCCGTGAGAGAAGAAAAGCCACTCTAGTCACTGCCACGTGTATAGCTTTTTAATACAAATGTATTTGAATGTATTTGCAACTTACTTGTTTATTAGTTCCAGGGTCAATCACTGCATGAGAATTTTGAAACTTTTTAAATTTTGGTGTTAAATCTTTCTCCCCCCATTTGATAACTATATATCTTGGGTCATTAATGTGCAGTAAATGCAGATTTGATTTGTACTTTATGGCTGTAAAACAGTGTCCTCCTTGTTTAGTGGTCACACTGCACAACCTCAGTCCTGCAGAATATTTATTGCAACTTAGAAATGAATAAAAGAAGTCTACCTGCACATGCAAAGAATTAAGAGCCACATAACTTCGATTCTGGCTAGAACTTACATGGCATTATTCATCTTTTGATTCCTAATGAGCTTGGCTATCTGGGTTCCTGGTCCGCAGCAAGGAGGTCCACCTTCTAGATTCAGAGCATGGCTGTTAGAATACGTGTGATACGTAGTCACAACCAACTGCTGAGCAGTGAAGGCAATACAGGGAGGGGTGTCTGTGATTACATCCTAAATCTATGAGAAAAGAAAAGTTGGGTTCAGAACTATCTGTTAACAAGGAAATAAGTATTGCCTTTTGGAAAAAGGGATCCTCAGTCCTTTTTAGAGCTAGAAAAAAACCTTAAAAGTCATTTAGTCTGACCACCTTAATTTACAGATAAGGAAATGGAGACTCAAAGAGGTTAAATGATGTTTCCAAGGTCATATGGCTGCCAACTGGAAAAGCTACTGGGACCAGAATCTATGAATCCCAATTTCCAGTTCAGCCATCTTCCTACTACTGACCAAAAAGTAGAAATTTTAATGGTATGGAAAATTCATTATCCGTTGCCGTTGTACCTTTTTCTCAGGATATTGTAATAGCCACTATTTATGGAGAAATTACTTACATATACACAGTGTCAGTTATCTATTGCTGTATAACAAACCACTCCATAACATAATGGCTTAAAACAACCACCATTTATTTAGTTTATGACTTTGTGCATCAGCAGTCTGGACCTGGTGAATCCACTGGTCTTGTCCAGGCTCCCTTATGTGTCACTGGTCACCAAGGTGGCTCTGCCTCTGGGTGTTGGCTGGCTGTTGGCTGAGTCGTCTGGGGAGCAGCTGGGCCTCATGCTTCCCATCACTGGGCAGGCTGCCCTGGGCCTGGTCACATGTTGGCTCAGCATGGTTGTGACCAGGAGCATGGGAGCAAGGCTCCTTGAGGCCTAGACTGCAATGGACACAAGTTGCTTCTCCTCCAATCTACTTATGAAGAAACAGACTCTACCTTTTGATGGGCGGAAGTACAGAGCCTTTAGAGAATGGTATGGATTCAGGGAGGGGTGGAGAATTGTGGCCGTTTTTGCAATCTGCTGCGTTGGCCGAGCACTTTATAGAACTTAGCTAATTCTCATAACAATGCAAGAGATGAAGGCAGAATTTTACAGGTGAAGTAATTGAAAC